CTTCCTTCCTTCCTTCCTTCCTTCCTTCCTTCCTTCCTTCCTTCCTTTTGTTTTGCAAAATAGCTTGACCCCTTTCCTCTCTGTGGCAGCCAGTCAGATATTGCAAGACTTCTCTCCTGTCTCCCCTGGTCCTTCTCTTCCCTAGACTAGCCAAGCCCAGTTCCTGCAACCATTCATCGTATGTTTTAGCCTCCAATCCCCTCATCATCCTGGTTGCTCTTCTCTGCACTCTTTCTAGAGTCTAAGTTTAAGATCACAACTGAGCCCAAAATTTATGTTGTTGAGTGAGAAATTTGTTAAATGAGTCTTGCCCTATTTTGCGACTTTCCTGGTCACATTTGAACCCACTGCGGTTCTTGAATTAAGTAACCCAGTTGTTAAGTGAATCTGGCAGCCTCCGTTGACTAGGCATGTCAGAAGGTCGCCAAAGGGGATCACGTGACCCAAGGACACTGCGACTGTCATAAATGTGAGTCAATTGTCAAGCATCTGAAGGAAAATCATGCAATCCCTGGGGATTGCCATAGTGGTCATAGGTATGAAAAACGGTCGTAAGTCACTTTTTTCAGGGCTGTTGTAACTTCGAACGGTCACTAAATGAACTATTGTAAGTCAAGGACTACCTGTATTTTGGCTGGATAGCCGAGAAAAAATGATAGCACTCACACAATACCCTCAATCAGCCACCTCCTTCTTTTAAAGATCCCATAATCCCTTGCAGCGTGGACTCTGGGCAACTGATTGGAGCTGCGTGTTTACTGGCTGGATGCCTTTCCTGTCGCTAGTGCGGAGTTATATATAGCAGATAAATTCTCATCATGCCCAGAGAGAGAAATATCTGCCTCTACTGAGGATCGAACTCTCAACCTCCTGATTGTGAGATGAAAGATGTCCACTTCTAGGCTGTACCACTCCCACAATACCTTCAGCCTAGTGAGAAATTCACCCAGAAGATAAATGGAAGTATATATTTAGTTTAGCTTAGTTTAGTTTAGTTTAGTTTTAGTTTAGTTTTAGTTTAGTTTTAGGTTTAGGTTTAGGTTTAGGTTTTAGTTTTAGTTTTAGTTTAGTTTATTGTCATTGCACCTCGTACCATGAAATCAAACACCATCTTCAGTGCACATCACGACCATGAAAATAAACACAACCACAGATCCTTCACACTCCACACACTGAATGGAAAACCCCTGATATTGCATTCATACTGCACCATTATACAGTAGAATTCAAAAGAGCTACTGCCCTGGGATAGAAGTTGTTTTTCAGCCTATTTGTCCTTGTTTTTATTATCCTGTACCAGCTGCCAGATGGTAATAGTTCAAATAAAAAGGCGGTGCCCAGGATGAGATGGATCTTTAAGGATGTTTTGAACTTTCTTAAGGCGGCAGGAGCTATAAAGCTCTTCCAAAGAGGGGAGAGGGCAACCCATGATCCTCTGGGCAATGACTTTAACCCTCTGGAGCGCTGTCCTATCTGCCCCAGTGCAACTGGTAAACCATACAGAGGTGCAGTAAGTTAAAATGATCTCTATGGTGCAGCGGTAGAAGGTCACCAGCAGTTTTCCATCCAGTTGTTGTTTCCTTAGAAGCTTCAGGTAGTCTAATCTCTGCTGGGCCCTTTTGACCAGGGCTGCAATGTGAGTCCCCCAGGTCAGGTCCTCTTTTAGGGTAACACCAAGAAACTTAAAACTGGCCACTTGCTCTACTCAGTCTCCATTGAGTAGACTGTATAAGCTCCTTGGTCTTATTGGTGTTGGGGACCACGTTATTGTCTTATTTTTCATTCTTGTAAGTCCTTGACTTACAACAGTCCATTCAGTGACTGTTCAAAGTTACAATGTCACCAAAAGAAATGACCATTTTTCGCAGTTACAACCGTGGCAGTGTCCCCATGGTCAACATGATTAGAATTCAGATAGTTGGAAACTGACTTGTATTTATGACGTTTGCCGTGTTCCAGGGATCATCTGATCCCCTTTTGCGACCTTCTGGCCAGCAACGTCCACGGGGAAGAGAGATCCACTTAACAACCGCGCTCCTAACTTAACAACTGTGGTGATTCACTGAACAACGGTGGCAAGAAAGGCTGTAAAATGGGGCAAAACTCACAAGCCTCGCTTAGTAACGGAAATTGTGGGCTCTTGTGGCTGTAAATCAAGGAGTACCTATAGGTTAAATCGTAGACTAGCAAAAGTTATCCCAGTTTTTTCAGATACATCATTTCAGGTCGAGATCTGTTATTAACGCCTCATGGTAGAGGTGAAAAAAGTCAAAATGGCAGCCTCCATGGTGCAATGATTCAAAAATCAGATCAGAATTGGAAGGAACCTTGTAGGTCATCTAGTCCAACCCCCTGTCCAAGCAAGAGACCCTGCCTACACCATTTTTGACCAATGGCATACCAGTCTTTTCTTGAAAGCTTCCAGATTTTTCTGACCTCCTCCAGCATGGATGTTCCCGGCCATCTTCTTTTTATTTTAAAAACGGGGTACATCTGACATCCCAGAATATGTGGCTCCCAAAAGCGGGGTCCATTCCTGAGATTTCCTTGGGCCTCAGTGTACCCCCATTGCTCCTGGACAGCCCCGAAAATGGGAAAGAACAAAGCTTGAATAGGTAAACCATGTTTGTGTAAAGGTTTAACCACGTTTAGCAACACCCCAAGTGTGTCATAGCCACAACAAACATTTAACATCATAGAATAAGTGTCCAGGGTGGATAGGAAAAAAAACAACTGTACTGCAAGTTAGCCAAGGAAGCAAATTATAAGCATAAAGACGCTTCCTGGAAGATAATTTTTGAAAGAGAACCTTGATGGAAGGTTAATATGGAAGAAACCACAATTGGATGAATGACACAGGCTCACAGCAAGTCCAAAAACAAAGGAGGTTTACCATTTAAATCAGGTTTTTTTTTGAGCTTGGCCACTTTAAGGAGTATGGACTTCAACTCCCAGAATTGCCCAGCTTACATGGGAGTCAAAGTCCACCCATGTTAAAGTAAGCAGGCTGAGGAATTCTGGGAGCTGAAATCCACAGGTCTTAGGGCAGTCTGGCTGGAGGATTCTGGGAGTTGAAGTCTACCCATCCTTAAAACATGTTGGCTGGGGAATTCTGGGAGTTGAAGTCCACAGGTCTTAAAGCATGTTGGCTGAGGGATTCTGGGAGTGGAAGTCCATCCATCTTAAAGTAAATAAGCTGGGGAATTCTGGGAGTTGAAGTCCACCCTTCTTAAAGCATAATGGCTAGGGAATTCTGGGAGTGGAAGTCCACTTATCTTTAAAGCATGTTGGCTGAGGGATTCTGGGAGTTGAAGTCCACCCATCTTAAAGTAAATAAGCTGGGGAATTCTGGGAGTTGAAGTCCACCCTTCTTAAAGTGGCCAGCATTGAGAAACACCAATCTGAATTATTATTATTATTATTATTATTGCTATTGCTACTACTATTACTATTATCATCATTATTATTACTATTATTACTACTATTACTATTACTACTATTACTATTACTATTATATATATTTTTAATATGGAAACTTGCAAACCAAGATGATGATTCTGGATTTGTTCCTCAATCCCAGGACAAACAGCTCTAAACATTGCCATCGAGAGACGCCAGTACGACATCACTCAGACCCTGATCGAGAAAGGCGCGGACGTCAACGCCCATGCCCAGGGCGTGTTCTTTAATCCCAAACGCAAACATGAAGGGTTTTATTTTGGTAAGGGTCTGACAGAAGCCCAGTATGGTAAAAAGAAGCTGTTCAACAGGTCGAGCCAGAGTGGTCAACTAAGACAAAGTCACCGAGCTGGCTTTCATGGCTAAAGTGGGACTAGAACTCACAGTCTCCTGTAATTGGCCCAAAGTCACCCAGCCGGCTTTCGTTGCTAAGGCAGGACTAGAACTCACGGTCTCCTAGTGATTGTCCCACAGTCACCCAGCTTGTCTTCATGGCTAAGGTGAGACTAGAACTCACCATCTCCTGGTGATTGGCCCAAAGTTACCCAGTTGGCTTTCATGCCTAAGGCAGGACTAGAACTCACCGTCTCCCAGTGATTGGCCCAGCCAGTTTTCATACCTAAAGCAGGACTAGAACTCAACTTTGAGCCTGACCCTCTCTCTCAGTCCAACCTACCTCACAGGGTTGTTGTTGTGGGGAAAATAAGAGGAGGAATATGTGTTGGATACATTTGCCACCTTGTGTTATTTGTAAAAATAATAAAGGCGGGATATGAATAAATAATATAAATCGCATCATAATATGGCAACATCCGGACAGCAATGACCAAAAGTTACATCCTTGACATGCAGTCCTAATTTAGCCTGGCAATTATCCTAAATTGTGACAGTCGTTGTTGTGGTCCTCCAAACTCCAGTGTGTGGTTTTAAAAGTTGTGTATAGTCATGATGTTATTCTTTGTTTTGTTTTGTTTCTATTTTGTGTTTATTAACTGCCCATCTCCCTTTAATATAAAGATTTGTTTCCTGAGACGGGAATTGTACTGAATTCCAATTAGTTAATGTTCCCTTTGTTGTTTTTGTTCCACTCTTTAATAAATGCATAATAATACTGGTAACGCATCTTAAATAATAAATCAAGATTTAATCATGATAGTTTATGTTATTTATCAAGGTGTGGTTACAAATGAAACATGACAAAGAAAATATTATTTTAGCAATCGCTGATCAATCTTAGTTCTTCTGTCTGGTGAAATAAATGTGTGACTGTTGGCTTCAAAATTATTTTATTCCTTGCTTGACAGAAAAATACTTGTGCATTCGGATACCATGCAAAGCTCCCAAACTTTTTCTTAAGGCAAATTACCAAATCATTTTTCAAACTGCTGTCAAACTACGATCTGATGATGTCTGTTGCATTCCAAATTCTGCCAGTCTGTCTATTTATCTATGTGCCTATTTCTCTTTCTCTCTCCCTTTTTATTTTTATTCCTTCCTTCCTTCCTTCCTTCCTTCCTTCCTTCCTTCCTTCCTTCCTTCTTTCTTTCTTTCTTTCTTTCTTTCTTTCTTTCTTTCTTTTCTTTTCTTTCTTTCTCTTTCCATTTTTATCAATCCTTGTCTACTATCTACAAATCCATCCACCCATCCTTATCTCTGTATCTCTGCCCCTCTGTCTCCCTTTCTATGTATCCATCCTTACTTATCTCCTATCTGTCTATCTATTTCTATCTTTCTTTCTCTTTCTCTGTCTCTATCTGTCTATCTACCTTATCTAACCATCCTACCCTATCTTCTTTTTTTCTATCTGCCTGCCTGCCTGCCTGTTTGTCTGTCTGCCTGTCTATCTACATCATCTATCTATATATATCTTTCTATCCATCTGTCAACTCTCTCTATCTATTGTTTATGTATGTATGTGTGTATGAATGAATGAATGAACGAATGAATAAACGAACGAACAACTTGCCACCAGAAGTTGTGAATGCTCCAACACTGGAAGTTTTTTAAAAAGATGTTGGATAACCATTTTTCTGAAATGGTATAGGGTTTCCTGCCTAGGCAGAGGGTTGGACTAGAAGACCTCCAAGGTCCCTTCCAACTCTGTTTATTCTATTCTATTCTATTCTATTCTATTCATGTATCTACCTGTCTTGTCTGTCTGTCTATCTATATCTATTTATCTATGTATCTATCCATTCATCCATCCATCATATCCACCCACCCACCGATCTATCCACCTACCAATCCATCCATCCATCCATCCATATTATTTTAATTAAGCTTGTATTCGTGTTCCTTTAAATCTTGTGAGATTTTTGAAGTTTTTGAGCTTTCATGGACCTGAACAAAAAAAAAATGAAAATTATATTGCAGGCGAGACTCCCCTGGCGTTAGCCGCCTGCACCAACCAGCCAGACATCGTCCAGCTCTTGATGGAGAACAGCAAGACGGACATCATGTCTCAGGATGCCCGCGGGAACAATATCCTCCACGCCTTGGTGACCGTGGCGGAAGACTTTAAGACCCAAAACGACTTTGTCCGGCGGATGTACGACACCATCCTCTTGAAAAGCAGAAGCCGGGATTTGGAGACAATGAAGAATAAAGACGGTTTAACGCCTCTACAGCTGGCAGCCAAAACAGGGAAGTTAGAGGTAGGCCGAACTACGGGGTAATCCTCGACTTACGACAGTTCAGTTAGTGACCGTTACAACGGCACTGAAAAAAGTGACTTAACGGCCGTTTTTCACACTTAACAACCTCTGCACCAGCCCCAGATGTCAACTCATAAAACATTTTCTTTTTTTATAGTTTTATAGTTGCCAACAGAAAAGGGGAGAAGGAGATGGAACAGCTGACAGGGAGTGGGAGTGTGGCTCCGGTGGTTGTGGAGGAAACTGGGGAAGGGCACAGGCTGGATGGGCAGTCACGGGAAAATTCAGGCCCATCCCCTTTTCATCCTAGGGCACGCAGGGAGGAGTGGATAAGGGAGAAACGTGAGTGGCATGGTCTAAGGGGGAGGAAGGGGCCCTGATCCCCTTAAATGGGCTGCAGCTGGGAGGACTGGTTAAAAGGACAAACTGCGCATGGCAAAAGTTGCTGGAAGCAACGCGTGCGTTATTCTTGTCGGACCTTATCTCTGTTTTAGCTTCCTCCCAACTGTGGTTGCTGCATTATCTGGTAGAAGTCTGCAATTAATCATCCTTGCCTGCCAGTAGTAATTCCTTCAGTGCGGTTTGTGTTGGTTTTTTTTTATTTCGAATTAACTTTACTTTGGGTGCGGACTGCATTTACTCCTTCCGTAAACTGTTTTCTTTAAGAGTTTGATTTCCAGCCAAGGATAGTTGGACACTGGGGCCAAGTTGGAGGCATTAAAGGAACTTCATACTATTTTTGTGCCTTGGTTATTTTTGTGTCACGCCCCGGGTCATCACAACGTGTTTCATTGGACAGTATGAATTATGTGTCAGGGCTCCAACAAATCCACCCCCATTCAAATCATAAGTCTCTGGTCGCATCTCTCAGAATTAAAAAAAAAAGATTTATTAGGAGTGGCCGCGTTGGCATTACCTGGGTGCAGCCGACACTAAAATACACCATTCATTCCCCCCTTGACCCTGGTCTTCCCCCCCAACCTCCTGGATGTATATTCTCCAATGGGACACATCCATAGCCAAGAGTCATCAATCATACTCTCCAGTAATATTGTTGCGCACCAACAACTTTGGGTGATTATCCGAGGCATTTAAGGAATGGCTGGGCGTGGCCAACTCAATATCACTCACATCGAGGCACGCATCTTCACCCCTGGCCTCTCATGACTGTGGGGATGCTGCAACAGTCGTAAGTGTGAAAAATGGTCATAAGTCACTTTTTTCAGTGCCATCGTAACTTTGAATGATCACTCCACACAAGCAAAGTACCAGCAAAGGAGGGGGAAAAAAACTCCAGAGAAGTTCCAGAGACAGGAAGTCTAGTCCTGCCAAGAATGTAATAAGGGTTAACGGAGAGGCAGTTTCTGTAAGCAACACCAGAATGTTTCCTTCCTGCCTTCCTTACAGGATTAGTCCAGTAATTTCTTCTAACAACCGGTTCTCCGAACTGCTTAGAATGTTAACAACCGGTTCTAGCGAATAGGTGCGAACCGGTAGAATCCCACCCCTGCTTAAAGTTATTGAAACCTCCCTTCCTTGTCTTTATGCAGTCTGGACTCTTAACTTGTCCTTTTCTTGACTTGGATCGTTTTAGATTCTGAAGTACATTCTCAGCAGAGAGATCAAGGAAAAACCCATCCGTAGCCTTTCCAGGAAGTTCACCGACTGGGCTTATGGCCCCGTCCAGTCCTCTCTTTATGACCTCACAGAATTGGACACCACTTCAGAAAACTCATTACTGGATATCATTGTCTATAATACAAATATTGGGGTAAGTCCTTGGATCAGAGTGTTCTCAAAGTACCTGTGCTTCCATTTTTCAAGGTCTTTCTTTCTTTCTTTCTTTCTTTCTTTCTTTCTTTCTTTCTTTCTTTCTTTCTTTCTTTCTTTTGTCTCTCTCTCTGTTTCTCTCTCTTTCTCTCTCTCTCTTTCTCTTTCCTCTCTTTCTCTTTCTCTTTTCTTCTCTCTCCTTTCCCTTCCTCTCTCCTTTTCTCCCTTTCTCTCTCTCTCTCTCTCTCTCTCTCACACACACACACACAAACACACACACACACACATTTTCTCTCTGTATCTATCTTTTCATTAGGGGCTATAAGGATTGAAATGGATACTTACAGCACTTTTCAAACTTTATCACGCTCCTGTTTGGTACATTTTCACATTTGGGGGAGGTGTCTGAGGATTGAATTTCAGGAAACCCCTATTAAAAGCCTGAGCCAGTGTTTCTCGATCTTAGCAGATTTCAGATGTGTGAACTTCACCTCCCAGAAATGGGGAATTGCCACAGACAACGAATGCAAAACAGGCAGTCTGAAAGAGGTTGACATAAATGGTTATATAATAGGGGCACGTGGAACAATAATCCAAAAACAGTCCCAAGTCCTGAGATCCAGGTCAGGGTTCCTAGCCAGTCCAAATGTCAGCATCTCACAAATAGTATTCACACAAATGTCACACAAGAGCTGGAGATCTGATCTTGTTTCCAGCAAAAGGAACATGGCTCAGGAACAGAGGGAATTATTAAATCAGGCCTCGGCCAGCAGCCTTTAATCAAGAGATTTACAGGTAGTCCTCGATTTACAACCAACATTGAACTCAAAATTTCCATTGCTCCCACAGGATCCACACAATTTTACAACCCTTTTAAGCGAATCACTGTATTAAGGGAATCATAAGGCCATTAAGTGAATCCGGCTTGCTAAGTGAGAAATGTGTTGAGTGAGTCTGCCCCATTTTACAACCTTGGTTGCCACAGTTGTTAAGCGAATCACTGCATTTGTATTTGGCATTTGTATTCAGGAAACATCCTGGGTCTTGCTCGTGCTGTAATCCATGCTGTAATCTCTTGGGTCATTGGCTGTGTTGCAACATCCTGAGGTTTTGTGGTATAACACAGCTGTTGCAACACAGCCAATGTCCCAAGAGATTACAGCACAAGACCCAGGATGTCAAAACAATAGAACTCAGAATGTCATCACACAGCCCATTACCCAGGTCTTTACAACACAGGAGGCTGATAGACACATAGCCGTACCGGCCACTCAGCCACACAGGTTCTTACGAAAAAGCCAATTAATCTGCAAACATCAACTCCATCAACCAATCAAGAAATAACAACACAGCCAACCAGCCCGCTTACAACAGAGCTAGCACCTCCCCACCAGTCTTTATAGAGAGATAGCAGTTCCGATCACGCTTTGCTCCCACAAGCACGAAGCCGAAAGCACCAGCCTGAAGATGGCGAGTGGGACCTATATATATATTTGGCATTTGTATTCAGGAATTTTATATATATATTTTTAATGCTGCATTCATCATATTCAGTTGGCAGCCCAGCTGTCGTGGCTTGACAAGTTGTATTCCTGGGGTGAAGACCTCTTTAAAAACATGTTGTTGTGGCTTTTGATCCAGCTGGTAGTGGAGACAGAATCAAAACCAACCCAGGCCTTCCTTGCAGACTTCCCAAAATCTTGGAAACATCCCAGAGGCATCAGAAGGGAGGGGGTCAAATCCATAAGACAACAGATGCAGCATCAGTCTTGAAGCTTCACATCTCCCGTAAACCTTAGTTTAATTCTGGTTTATTTACCAGGGTGGACAGGCTGAAAAATTCAGTGTCACTCTTGATGTTCTCATTCATTTGAGATGCCTTCAGGGCCCCACGTTTCTTAATTTCTAGCATAAATTGTGCCACTTGCTGAATAAAATCTGTTTGGACAGGAAGTGCAATTATTTTCAGTAGTCCTTGACTTATAATGACAATTGAAGTTTATTTATTTTTTTATGCTAAACCAAACAGTTGTTAAATGAATGTTGCCCCTGATGGGGAGTCAGGCTTAAAAACACAAAAATAAATAGAAATATATATAATAGAAATATATAAAAATAGTAGAAATAAATAGAAATATATAGTAGTAATAGAAATATAGAAATAATATGTAGAAATATATAAAATAATGGAAATATATATATATATATTGGAAATAAATAGAAATATATATATAAATAATGGAATTGAATAGAAATATAAGTATATAGTAATATTAGAAATATAGAAATAATACGTAGAAATATATAGAAATAACAAATATATAAATAATGGAAATAAATAGAAATATATATAAAAATAATGGAAATGAATAGAAATATATAAAAATAATGGAAATAAATAGAAATAGATAGTAATATTAGAAATATAGAAATAATATGTAGAAATATATAAAAATAACAGAAATATTAAAGTAATGGAAATAAATAGAAATATATATAAAAATAATGGAAATAAATAGAAACAGAAATAGATAGAAATAATGTGTAGAAATAGATGGAAATATATAAAAATACAGATCATCCTCAACTTACAACCACAATTGAGCCCAGAATTTCTGTTGCTGTGCGAGACAGTTGCTAAGTGAATTTTGCCCCATTTTACGACTACACATTTGTTCAGTGAATTGCTGTAGTTGTTAAACTAGTGTCACGGTTGTTAAGCAAGAATTGTGAAGTACCTTTTGGCTCATTTTTCCACCTTTCTTGCCATGTTTGTAAGGGAATCACTGCAGTTGTTAAGTTTGTCATATGGTCATTAAGCGAATCAGGTTTCCCCTCTCCCCTTGACTTTGCTCGTCAGAAGGTCTCAAAAGGGGATCACATAACCCCTGGTGGGATTCAATTAAAAATGATAAAATTAGGTACCGGTTCTCCCGAACTGATTATTTTGCCTGGATTAACCTGATGTTGTGGTTAGCCGGGAGCAGGTGTGGACGGCGGAGGAGAGCGAGGACTCAGATGAGGGGCCAGGACCATTAGGGAGTGGACTGCTGTCTTCAGAGATTGTGGGGGCTGGCAGCAGCAATGAGGAGTTTCCCGAGGAGCCTGTGCTAACTGTATGTGAGCACAGGATTGCTCACAGGAAAGAGCAGCTGCAGCAGCACAGGCGACTCGGGAGTAAGGCTGTAAGGTAATGGCCCCTCCTTCAAGAAGATAAAAGCCAGCTGTGAATCGGACGTTCTTTGCAGGAAGCAAAGACGTTTTGAAACTCCAGCCTCGTGGACATTCCAGTATCCTGAGTTTATATTTGAAGATTCTTATTTTGCAAATTATTTCTTGTCTATTATCTTTTGGCAAGTCTCACACAGTTTGGCAAGGTTTGTGCTTATCACAGCTAATTATTTTGTAAAAACATTATAAAGATTCTGTTCCTTTTGAATTGTGTTTGATTTGTTGGAAAAGGGACGTGGGTCAGAACAGCTGAAGAGATAGATGCTCTCTCTCCCTTTTTAATCCATTTCCACCCCACCCCCCCCAAAGCAGAATCGTCACGAAATGCTGGCTCTGGAACCGCTTCATTCCTTACTCCGGATGAAGTGGAAAAGATTCGCCCGGCACGTCTTCTTCCTCTCCTGCTGCCTGTACTTCATCTACAACCTCATCTTGACGTTGATCTCTTACTACAGGCCTCACACGAAGCAGGTATTCTGGGCAGGTGGATCCCCGGGGGAGCCATCTTTCATAAACTCCCATCTATAGGTAGTCCTAGAATGTACGACCGCAACTGGGAGCAGAATTCCCATGGCTGAGCGAGGTGGGTTGTTGAGTGAGTAGCGCCTGCTTTTATGACCTCTTGCCTGGCCTGGTCGCTGAGTGCATTGCTGCCATTGTTAAGCGAATCTGGTTTCCTCCACTGACTTTGTCGGATGGAAGCTGGCTGGGGAAGCTGCAAAGGGCAAATCATGTAACGCCGGGATGCAGCAAGGATTATAAATAGAGGTAGTCAGAATCAGAATAGAGCTGGAAGGGACTTTGGAGGTCTTCTAGTCCAACTCCCTGCTCAAGCATGAGATCTGATACCAGTGGTGGCCAACCAGTGGGCCGGGGACCACTGGTGGTCTGTGAGAAAATTTTGGTGGTCCGCAGAGAAATGTCACCCCCAAAGCAATTAATCCAGGCTGCGCGGGAACACGAGGCTGCGCCGCCCACATGGCCCGCGGGAACACAAGGCTTGCGTTGCTTGTATTAGGAACAACACGGGGGTAGTGAGGGGAGGAGGGAAAGGGAGGAATGGGGGGACTTGCGCCACACGCCTGGCCTGGCTACCAGGTTGCTTCTCTCCGCTTCTTTCTTTCTTCTTCTGCTTTTGGCTGCACGCAAGGAAAGCAGCCAAAGTCTTTCTTTCTCTCCCCCAAACTCCGCCAGAAATGAGTCTTTGGGACCCTGCAAGGCCTCCTGCTCCAAGAGGCTCATTTCTGGCGGAGTTTGGGGGGGGGGGAAGAAAGAAAGACTTCTGCGGCTTCTGCTGCTTTCCTTGCATGAAGCCAAAAGTCTCTCCCTCCCTCTCTCTCTCTCCCCCTGAGAACGGAGCTGGAGACAGTATCCTGCGATCCCAAATAAAGAAGGATCAATCGGTAGGAAAACGGGGTGGGGAATTTTCCTGCAGACTTTTTGGGGGATTTTCCCAGGGTCTCTGGTCTGCAGGATTTTAAATTATAAGTTTGGTGTTCCCTGAGGTCCAAAAGGTGCCCTATACCATTTCAGACAAGCAATTGTCCAGTCTCTTCTTAAAAACCTCCAGTGATGAAGCACCCACAACTTCTGGTGGCAAGCTGTCCCGCTGATTAATTGTTCTCGCTGTTAGGAAGTCACACAGAATGAATGTTTGTAAAGCGAGGACTGCCTCTAATTCTGATTTTTTTTTCTGATTTTCTTTTTCGTCCCTAGCCTCCCCCATACCCTCTGGCGCTGATCGGAGAACTGAATTGGCTGCAGTTGGCGGGACAAGCCATGGTTATTTTGGGAGCCGTGTTTATTGCTATTAAAGAGGTAAGCACTGATCGGAATATTCCTCATGAATAAAAGTAAATCTACACGTCCCAGGATAAAAGTTGCAGGATCCAATCTGGGGTCGGTCACCGAGAGGAAAGATTTTGTCTTCTGAATTTTCAGATACCTGCTTGGAATTTCACCTTCAGGGAAAATTTCTCTCTAACAGAGGATTTAATATTCTTATTGGGGATCTTACGTGAAATTTATAGTGAAGAGAATGTATGTGTCAGGATTCCGGCAGTTGCCCCCAATTAAATCATGAGTCTCAAGTGAAACTTCCAAAACTTCAAAAGGATTTATTGGGAGTTAACGTGTCCAGCACTGCCTGGGTGTAGCCGACTCTGAGACACATCATTCATTGTCACCCTTGACCCTGGTTTTCCCCCCACCCCCTGGGTGTATCATCATTCATATTCTCCAATGGGACAAATCCATAGCCAAGAGTCATCAGTCGCGCTATCCAGTTAGATATTTCCGTGCAGAAACTTCAGTCACCTGGTTACTATCTTTGAAAAACCATTTATGGAATTCACTTTCGATTTCCAAGCTGCCGCACTGCTCTTTCAAACCCCTTTCCTCCCCTCTCCCTTTCTGTTGGCAACTCTAAAAAGACCATAGAAATATTTTATGAGTTGACAGTATATTTGATTATTCGTGTATTAACTGCAGCTAGAATTCTATTTGCACAAAATTGGAAAAGCGAAGAGATTCCTACCGAAGAGAATGTGATCAGGAAAATATTAGTAGAATGTGCAGAAATGAATAAGTTAACACTTGCAATTAAAGAGAAGGAACAAACTGAGTATTGTATGATATGGGAATCATTTCATCGGTGGTTAGAGAATAAGTTTGAAAGTTAGAAACAAAAGAAGATGAGTGAAATATAGAAAATATGTTCATAGAAATAAATACGCTAAGATGAGGATTTTATAATAATTAGATATATTATGTATATCAGTAATAAGCAGGGGGTGATCAGACTGGTTCTATAGAACCAGTTGTTATGATTCTGCGCAGTTTGGGAGACCGGCAAATTTGGGAGACCGGCAAATTGCGCCACTGGCTGGTCCCTCCCTGGCCCTACGACTCTACCTGGCATGCGTGCCATCAAACTTGCCTGCATTTGGTAAATTGCTATTTTTCCTTTTTTTTTCCCCCGACTATCAGCTGTTCTGACGATCAGCTGTGCTGGGATATTTAGATTAGCTAGAAAGCAGGAAATCGTTGGATTTCTTGCTTTCTAGCTAATCTAAAAGCAGAGCTGAACCTTCCTTAGGACTGAAGCTTCTATTTTTCAGTGCAGACTCAGGTAGCAGATGGCAGAAAGGTAGGTCTCTGAGTGAATCTGTGATTCTGTGAGCCACCCAATCTGCCTGCCTGCTTCGCCTGATTTTGGGTAAAAGTTGCTCTTTTTTTTAATAAAAAAAATCAATATTTACATACATGGTGTGTTGTGAGTTAATTTTGTGAGTTTGCTTGCTAGCAAATTTTATGAGTTTGCTTGCAAGCAAATTTTATGTGACAGACTCAAGTAGCTGATTGCAGAATGGTATATTTCTGAGTGAATCTGTGATTCTGTGAGCAACTCAATCTGCCTGCCTGCTTTGTGTAATTTTGGGTAAGAGTTGCTTTTTTATATTAAAAAAATCAATATTTACATCAATATTTGTAATATTTACATACAAGCCATGCCCGGCCAGTCACATGACCACCAAACCACACCCACAAATTGGGCCACGCCCACAGAACCAGTTGTTAAGAAATATGAATCCCACCCCTGGTAATAAGTTAAGAGTAGAGAATTAATACTAATGTAATAATTATGGCTGGAAACTTGAATTGTTATTGCACAAGATATTTCTACCCAACCAATATTTTGTTTAATGGAATGATGGATAGTATTAAAAATAAAATAAAAAATTTAGAAAATAAATCAATCAATCTTTTGTATCCTGTGTGTACTTCCTCCTGCAGAGTGTAGCCATATTCTTGCTACGGCCTTCCGATCTGCAAACGATCCTCTCGGACGCCTGGTTCCATTTTGCCTTGTAAGTAACGCGATGACTTTGCTTTGCTATCCTCACGATTTATGATGGCGACGGGAGGCTCCATTATGGTCATAAGTCAAGGACTACCTGTAGGCGCGCTCTTTTAAGGATATTTCATTTGCCTCCAACCCCAAACACCAACCTAGGTTTGCAAGATTACAGAAATCTTCCTTTTAAACCAGTGTTGTTGTTTTTTTCAATCTCAGGACAGTTTAAGACGGGTGGACTTCAACTCCCAGAATTCCCCAGCCAGCCAAACTGGCAGAGATTGAAAAATAACACTGTTTTACACAGACTTGCATCTTGGGGAAACATTCCTCCTGCCTAAATAACTGTTAAATTTAATCAAATCAGAGTTTCTTCCAGATTTGGTCACTAATTCATCAATGTTTCTTGTGTTCAGAAGCCCTTAGATTTAATCAGCTATTAGGGAAATGCATTGCCCTGTCAGTTTTATTTAGCGGCGATAGATTCTCTAATTCATGGATCTTTAAAAGGAATAATTGTTTAACCACCCTTATCTTACTATTTAAAGCAGTTTTTTTTAAAAAAACTGGGAATCACTATTAGTATTTTATGTTTTTCTATATCCTTTTTATATTCTTTTACTGTATTGTTTACCATTTGTATCTTTTCTTGCTTCTGTTATTGATTTTAATTGGGTTAACAGGATATTTTTACAGTTCAATAGAGAGGTCTTGAACTATCTATCATCTATCTATATCTACCTCTTTATCTTTATATCTCTCTATCTCAGTCTATCTATCCTCTATATCTCTCTCCTTATCTATCTCTCTCCTTATCTATCTACCTATCTATCTCTATCTATCTATCTATCTATCTATCTATCTATCTATCTATCTATCTATCATCTATATCTTTATCTTTCTATCATCACTATCATCTATATCTTTTTCTCTTTATCTATCTATCTATCTATCTATCTATCTATCTATCTATCTATCTATCTATCTACCTACCTACCTACCTACCTACCTACCACCTATAATCTCTCTCTATATATATACATAACTCCTTCTCTCTCTCTCTCCTTCTCTATCTTTCTCTCTGTCCATCTCTCTATCTCTCTATCTCTATCATCCATCATCTATCTCTCCTTCTCCTTCTCCTCTCTTTCTCCCTCTCCCTCCCTCCCTCCCTCCCTCTATCTATCTATCTATCCATCTATCTATCTATCTACCTATAATATATATTCTATCTAACTGATTTTATATCTAGCTAACCATCTACACAATATAATGGAGATGTTAATATTAAGTAATTAAGATCAAAACTATTACCATACAGTCGGTACTTTGGTGTCAGTGTCAGTGCTTCTTTTCTTAATGTTATATTTAACTTTGGATGAAAACCTCAAATAATTTTATGCTTGTAGTATTGACCCCCTAAACTGTGATTGATACTGATAAAACGTTGTCTTTTCTTTCTCTAAATATTAACAGTGGAAGCCACCTAAATGATAGGAGTTAATCATCTTTAACCGTATCACATAGATACCACTGTGTTGAAACATTTAATATGATATTGAATGTTTACAGCAATCTAATTAGAAGGAAGAATAGAAATTAAAACTTGAGTGTTTCTGTGATCCTTCCCAGTTTCATTCAAGCGGTGCTGGTGATCGTCTCGGTCTTCCTCTACGTTTTCTCCTACAAAGGGCACCTGCCTTGTCTCGTCCTGGCCATGTCCTTAGGCTGGGCCAACATGCTGTATTTCACTCGGGGGTTGCAATCCATGGGCATCTACAGTGTCATGATTCAACAGGTAAGGAAGGCAGCCTTGACAAGCCCTCGTTTGGGTCTCTCAGGCCAGGCCCAGCAATTCAGATCTCTTTAAGAGGGAGGCTGCGCATAGCCAATTCTTCTACAGTCAAGTCAGTCTGTCTGTCTCTGTCTGTCTATCTATCCATTTATCAGCTATCTATCTATCTATCTATCTATCTATTCATTTATCATTTATCCATTTATTATCTATCTATCTATCTATCTATCTGTATCATCTGTCTGTCTGTCTGTCTGTCTATCTATCGTATCATCTATCTATCTATCTATCTATCTATCTATCTATCTTTATCGTATCA